AATTAATTTTTGAAAAAATCAATTTTTTATATAAAATCTATCGCTATTTTCTTTAATAGAATATGTAATTTTTTTACATAATAAATTGATTTCTCTTGTTATTGTGCATATTAAAGTTATCAAAAGTTAATATAGTTTATAAAATGTTTTACACTTTATTCTGGCATATTTTTACATAAAATAAATAATATATATCTCATAAAATATTCATGTTTTTTTTTTGTTACTATATCTTAATATTTTTGTGTACAATAATGAGATAAATTAATTGATGTACAGAAAACAGCTTTTCAAAAAAATTATACAATTATACATTTTTTTTGCAATTATATTTTTAACAGAAGCCTAGGAAGATTGTTGTACAATTTTTTTCATAAAGTTTGAGCAGTTTAAAGATCGACAATTTTTCTAAAAATTGAGTTAATTCTGCTGTTAAATGTGTGTGTGCGTGCGCGCGCGTGCACACACACACACACACACACACACACATCTATTTATAGAGACGAATCAAGAGATCTCCGATCCCAGATTTAGATCTAGGAATCCTTGCCTACATTTCGAAGAGTATCTCCCGGTAGATTCGAAGTCCGACAGCCCCCTAAAGTTTTCATTGCCCTCGGGGGTAACGAAAGGGCGAGATGTGAATAAACGAGGGCTGCAGATAACCGCGGGGAACCGCGATGTTCGCGCTGCCTGCAACCCGCTAATTGGAGTTGTCATATTGCCGATGCTCCAATTAGTTCCCGTCATCGTTGTAGGTAACGTAACGAAAACTACGCACGCCTAGTTAACTCGCATAAATTTTCGGCACCCCCGGTATCGCCCGGCGTTAAATTTAACTGGGTGAAATCAATGGTGGGATAACTTCGATACCCCGGGTTTACCGGGAATCGCGATGGAATCGCCGCTTACCTATTGAATACGCGATCAAATCCGCGCCCAGATTTATGCGGTATCCCTCCATTCTCTACGGCATGAAAAATTTAAAAGTCTCACGGGCCTCTCGATTTCCGCGCGCGAGCATGAAATCCATCGCGCGTTTTAACGCTATTCCCGATGTGCAATAATATTCGAAGCGTAGAGATCGTCCGGCTATAATTGCTTCGTCGCTTTTAATTAACGCTTTTAATTAAAGCGATTAGTCGCGAGAGATGGATCAGATTATCTTGAATTAATTCAGCACGAGCACTTTCTGAGTTAATGTAAAGTCTTCGTTATCGCGGTACATCGCACTCGTCGAAACGTTTCTCCGTTGGCATTCGATGTCTCATTGATTAAAATAAACTTATATTAAATAAATGAAGTCAGTTATTATTAAATAAACAGAATAGTTGCTAATTTTGAAAATTATAATATAGAATTATTGCTTATTGCCATTATTATGCGATATATACAGCCACATTTTAAAATATCTTCTTCGTAAACACTTCAGCGCTCGCTGAACAAAATTCAATTCACGAATTTAATAAAATTTTTCAGTTTCCAAGTCCATGATGTAAATCAAATTATCACTATTTTATATATATTGTAAGAGAGTATTGTTATATATAGAATGTTTTTCACTTCAAACTCAATTTTATCGTGACTGTCCTAAATCGGTATGAAATAAGCAAAATTAAATCTTGAAGTTTCAAGACGCTCGATGTAAACGGAATTATTATCGCGGTGCGCTGTAAAAGCGGTGCCCCT